ATAGCAGTTCGGCCAAGACCTGGTGTTTGGGAATATGTTCGTGTTAATATTCATGAACTCAGTGTGGAGCAACTGAGTGTTCCTGAATATCTTCACTTCAAGGAAGAACTTGTAGAGGAAAAGTAGGCATCTCTTCTGTCCTGCTAAACTTGTATTTGTTGATTCCTTTTATGAATTACATTCAGCATTTTCTTTGTTAAATTACCAATTTAATTCTTGTTCACCACGTCTTAGGATTGATGGCCGTCTTGCGCTGGAGCTTGATTTCGAGCCATTCAATGCTCATGTTCCTCGCCCCAACCGCTCTTCATCTATTGGCAATGGTGTTCAGTTTCTCAATCGTCACCTTTCTTCAATTATGTTCCGTAACAAGGACTCTTTGGAGCCATTGCTTAATTTTCTTAGAGCACACAAACACAAAGGGCATGTAAGTTTCAACATGAAGTTACTTTTAAATAATTGTTACTCGTAGTGATTCTGTCAGTTTATAGCATCACATGTATCCTGTTTCTGTTTTTCTCTTTTGTTATTGTACTTTTAATGTTAAAAAGTTATGTATTATGTGTAATGTGGTTTATGTGCTGTAGATTTAGATGATGTAGGAATGTAATATGCAGAACAATAGTTTCTTCTTTTTCTTTTTAATGAAACTTACATACCTACCTAACTAAACAATGGAATATAGGCTCTGATGTTGAATGATCGCATCCAAAGTGTATCACGACTTCAATCTGCTTTGGCTAAGGCAGAAGATCATATCTCTAAGCTTCCTCCTGATACACCATATTCGGATTTTGAATATGTGTAAGTTCAATAAATATATATATATATTATCTTTTGCTGTCCTCCTTTTAGAATTGATGTTTCTCATTACATGGATGCAGATTACAAGGGTTGGGTTTTGAGAGAGGTTGGGGGGACACTGCAGCATGTGTGCTGGAAATGATTCATCTTCTCTTGGATATCCTTCAGGCTCCAGATCCTTCTACATTAGAGACATTCCTTGGGAGAGTGCCCATGGTGTTTAATGTAGTGATTCTGTCTCCACATGGGTACTTTGGACAAGCAAATGTTTTAGGTTTGCCTGACACTGGTGGGCAGGTACTAACTGCTTTTCTGACAGACTCTGCTCAACATTGATCTTTTCTTTTATGCTTTCTCTTTCTGATTATCTGGTGTCTTTATATTTCTCTTCATCCTTTGATGTATGTATCATTGCATAATGCTTATATGTAAATTTGCAATTATCATCTCACTTAAGACAGTTTTTGTATTTAATCTTCAGGTTGTTTATATACTGGACCAAGTGCGAGCTCTAGAGAATGAAATGCTTCTCAGGATAAAGAAGCAAGGACTGGATATTACTCCAAGAATTCTCATTGTGAGTTTCTTTTTATTTCTTTCAATTTATGTAACTCTGTTTCTTATTTCATTTGTAATTGTATTTTAAACATATTTTTCCTGGTTGTAGGTGACCAGGTTAATTCCTGATTCAAAGGGTACAACATGCAACCAGCGCCTGGAGAGAGTCAGTGGGACAGAACATACTCATATTCTGCGAGTTCCTTTTAGATCAGAGAAAGGAATTCTTCGTAAATGGATCTCAAGGTTTGATGTATGGCCTTATCTGGAGACTTTTGCTCAGGTAAAATCTATCTTTTAATAGCTTTTAACTGCTAATGCTTAGAAAACAGTAATTCAACAACCATGTGTATGTAGTCACCCTATTGATAGGCAACTTTTACCCTGTCCTTGGGCGGTGGAAAAGTAATGTCACATGACCACGTACAGAATTTATTAAGTTAAAGTTCATTGTTTTCCTTCTCTTCTTGAGTTGGGTGGGGGCTGTCTTATGAAGGGATATGAGCATTCCTGATGTTTGATCCTGAACTTATGTGTTTCAACAGGTTGTTGATAAATATTAACATTCAAGTTTGTCATTCATTAGTAACCATGCCTTTTTTTTTTTTTAATTTTTTTCAATAAGCTCCTTAACTACGTCTGCCGTAATATGGTTTCCTACACTATGCTCAAATTAATTTCATTTGAGAACTACCCTGTAATCCTACTGTTGTACTTTTAACACCTCCACCGTCCTCACCTTTTTCAACTTTGTCACTACCATACATTGTACTGCAACCACAGCTGCTGCAGTGAATCTACTTTTGCTATCACCTGCTTCTTTAGTGCTTTACAGCATGCTTTAGCTGTTGCAATTTTTAATGAGTCTTTAAATTATTTTTTAGGAGTTTTTATCATATTGCTTTCTCTAATCATCTTGCATAACATGTTTTACTGAATCTTCATACAATCAGGATGTAGGACATGAAATTGCAGCAGAGTTGCAAGGCCTCCCAGATTTTATCATAGGAAATTACAGTGATGGGAACCTTGTTGCCTCATTATTAGCTTACAAAATGGGAGTAACACAGGTTAATCTTCTCTTTTGGTCTTTCTGATGTTATTTATGTTTATTTTACTTAGATATCGGGCACATCAAGTTATTCTTGGATGGTGGAATTTTATTTATTCAAATTTTTTTATGTGCAGTGCACCATTGCTCATGCATTGGAGAAAACAAAATATCCAGATTCTGATATATACTGGAAAAAATTTGACGAGAAATATCACTTCTCTTGCCAATTCACTGCTGATCTAGTAGCCATGAATCATGCTGATTTTATTATCACCAGTACATATCAAGAGATTGCTGGAACGTAAGTATATGGAATGTACTTCGTATAAATAAATTATTGTAGGTCGCAATTTATGTCATGCAAACTATCATGATTTTTTTTTTCTTCATCTGTTGTTAGTGCCATACGATCTCTTTAAGCAGTTCTCAAGTGGTTAAAGCATACAAGCATATGCGTTTGCAAGGGCACTATAACTGTTAATATATGCTTATGGGATATTATGACTTGTATGTGGTTTGGAGTATCTAAAAACTAGTTGTGCAATTACATTATCAGATTTAGTGATACATTTTTCATTTCATCCGTTGCTTATTCTGACACTTCTTTGTTTCAGGAAGAATACCGTTGGCCAGTATGAGAGCCACTCTGCTTTCACTCTTCCAGGTCTTTATCGAGTGGTTCATGGCATTGATGTTTTTGATCCAAAATTCAATATTGTTTCTCCCGGGGCAGATATGTGCATATATTTCCCATATTCTGAAAAGGAAAAGAGACTTACAGCACTGCATGGTTCAATAGAAGAAATGTTGTATAACCCTGAGCAAAATGATGTACACGTGTGAGTATCTTCTTTCTGGTTGTTCTTTCTGCCTGGTTTTATAATCTATCTTAGTGTCTAGAAGGAATACTGCTTAGGATCTCAGGACATCGTAAGGGATCTGTTTATTTTACATGTATTTTGATAACAAGTATAAGGTTTCCATGAACATTCTTAGTAGGTTCTTGAGATGACAACATGAATAACAAGGCTTTAGCAGCTCTCCTTGATTATTAAGTTACGAGCTCAAATGTGAAGCAAAGAGAAACATTTGGGTTCAAGACCTAGAGTAATCATCCATTTCTAAAAGATTTTTCTGAGGTTATATACATCGAGTTGAAAGATTAGTTTCCCTTTGTAGGGCCTTGCAATGTGATGGCATTACATTTGGTTATTTAGCATGTGATCTGAGTTATCCTCTTTATTGCAGTGGTACATTGAGTGATCGGTCAAAGCCCATAATCTTTTCCATGGCAAGGCTGGATCGAGTTAAAAACATGACTGGGTTGGTGGAGTGCTATGGTAAAAGTACCAAGCTCAGGGAACTGGCAAACCTTGTTCTGATAGCTGGTTACATTGATGTGAATAAGTCCAAGGACAGAGAAGAAATTGCAGAAATTGAAAAGATGCATAACCTTATCAAGGAGTACAAATTGGATGGTCAATTTCGTTGGATTGGAGCTCAAACAAATCGAGCACGTAATGGTGAGCTCTATCGTTGTATAGCTGACACAAAAGGTGTTTTTGTACAGGTATCACTCCCGTTGATGTTTTGCTCGTTCTGTTATATTTTACTCTGCTCCTCAAGCTTATATTAACTTTATCTTTCTTCCTTGTTTAGCCTGCCTTTTATGAAGCTTTTGGCCTTACTGTTGTGGAAGCCATGACATGTGGCCTACCGACATTTGCCACTTGCCATGGTGGTCCAGCAGAGATAATTGAGGATGGGATATCAGGATTTCATATTGATCCATATCACCCTGATCAGACTGCTGAAATCCTTGTGAATTTCTTTCAACAATGCAAAGAGGACCCAAGCCACTGGAATAAGATTTCTGATGCAGGTCTTAAAAGGATCCATGAAAGGTTTGTATCTCTTAATGTGATTTTAATCTAGCTCGTGCTTCCTTACTGCATGCCATCAATGTGGGACTCAATCTTAGGTTTTGAAATTGTAGGTATACATGGAATATCTATTCTGAAAGGCTATTGACACTAGCTGGGGTATATGGTTTCTGGAAATACGTCTCAAAACTTGAGAGGCGTGAGACCAGAAGATATCTTGAAATGTTCTACATTCTTAAATTCCGTGATTTGGTAAGTGCTTAAATCCTCGTTTTATCATTAAAATTTAGTTGTGGTCATAGCTTCCTGATTTCACGCGTCATACACGAGTGCTTACAACCTTAGGGGGAGTATTGGAATCCAAAATCCATTTGGTAGTTGACTCCCTCATTTTTTTCATTTTTAACCATTTTCCTTATTCATGTTGCATTTTTACTTTGCTTTTAACCAACCACCATTTTTTCATTTTAATCTGTATCTTATTTGACGACCCATGGGAAGCCATGCATGTTTTAGTCGAAATTCAAAATTTCAATTTCCCAGTTTTAATCATCGCCAAGTAATGCCCTCAACTTTCTTGAAAAAATTACCATGGAATTTAATTTTTCTTCTATAGCTGACAAAATAATTTCGAGTAAGGTATGACCATGCTTCTACTTGTCAGGTTAAATCTGTGCCCTTGGCCGCTGATGACTAACGCTGCTACTCAAGGAAGTGACTTCGCACTGTCTCGATGTTATGTAAGTAAATCTATGTTTTTATTAATAAATAGCATCTCCAATGAGGTTGAATGTTGAAGATGCATGTTGCTCCTGGTTATGGAGCATTTCCATTGATGTTTGGCCATCATGTTATGTAAGCGAAGTCATGTTCCTGGTTAATGTGTGGAAGTTATTGTGCCGTAACTGTATTACCGGTTCATCGTAAATATCTGAATAAAATTTTGGATTATGGACATTATGGTATGGTATGGGGCTTTCATAAAAGCTGTTGTTCTTATCCACAGGATATTTGGGTGAACTCTCTGTACTATGAGAATTTCTAGTGGTCCATCATTATGCCTTTCTTCCCATCTTTTGTACCATTCTTCACCCCACAAGCTAACGAGTCGCAGCTTTGGGTTACTGTCACCCACCCCAGTGACTCTTCTGACACCCTCCGTTAAAAGAAGTAAAAAAGAAAAAAAAGAAAACGCCAGCTTTTATGATCACTCCAATTCCATCACATGATCTCCTTTCCCTCACTCTTCTTTCAACGGTCAAAATCTCAGCTACCCATTCCCTTCACTAACTGTAAATTATTCAGTTACACCCAATTTGCCTACTGAAATTCCAGTTATGAACAATTAGGACTAATCTTAATCCCAAAATTAGTTTTCCTATGAGACATCAGATTCTGTATGTTGCAATTTGCATGAGCTAAACCGCAAGGGAAATAGATTTGTAACAACTGTTTCTTGCAAGTTAAATACTAGGATACATATTACAAGTTCCAAAACAGACAAGAAAAGGTAATCCCAACTGCCTATACTATAGAAACCCAGAAAAGAAGTCTTTCTAGTACTAGCAAAACGCCGGATTGCAGTTCCTTTCACACACCACTATGGCTTCAAGTTGATAACAACAACAAATAGCAACACTACTGTATATGGCAATATTATAATAATATCCTTTTAACCACCGTGCTTCAAGGTTTGGAGCTCGAGCCCTTGGGTCTCGATAGTCGATCCTATTGCCCTGGAACACTTCCAAGAGAAGACTACTATACTAGAGCTTTAAGCTTTTTCCATTTTCAAAGACAAGTAAAACGAAAAAGGCACCTAAGCTAAACTTGTAGAAGTACTGCTATTGCATAGTGTCTCTTGGGCTTAGAGCTGGCCGAAGGAGTGAGCGAGGTAAGCCAGGGCTCCAACAAGGGGTGCGTTGATGTATGTTGCCGGCTCTGACTGCTCATAATCGGTGCGTTCATCGGGGAACTGGTCATGTTGGTCTGGCCCACCCACGACTGCACCCACTAAAATGTTGGGGTTGGGGGATTGAGAGTTCATAAAATCAAAGCCTGAGGAACATTGGATCTTGGCTGGGTGCTTGGCAACGGACGGTAAAGATGAACCCCTGTGGTGGACTCTTTTTGGGTACCGGGGACCATACCCGACCATGTAGGACATCTTCAAGGGGTTGTCTCCCAGAAGATAGTCCACCTGAAACCGTTTCAAGAGTTAGAAACTTGGTTTTTTTTTTAAAAAAAAAATTAAGTTGATTTTTGTGCTTGTGAGGCAAGACCTGTTTCTTGGCAATGGTTCTGAGCCTCTTGGGGGTGATGGTGGTGCCACCGCAGTTGACAATCTGGTGGGCGGTGGTTAAGTACTTGGCATAGGTTAAGAGAAGGAAGGATGTGGAAGTCACATACTGCATGTTGCTATCACTCATCTTGAACAGGAGCCCACCTGTTCAGAACAACCAAAACTAGCCGTTATGAAAAGCTTCAAAAGTTTTACGTTACAGAGATGGTCAATAGATGTGGGGACCAGGACCTGGTGTGTATTGAGCAGAAGAGAATGGGGCCCCAGGAATTAAAGAGCAGATAAAATTATCTGCATGACCCTTGTAATCATGGAGGGATTTAACTCTCTGCACAAGAAAAGCCTGAAAATCCACAACAAAAATAATGTTTCTTATCCCATCCAAGCCTAATATCAAATATTAAGAAATAGGGGAGATCTGAAGATGAAAGCTCACCTTGGAGAGGAGGATTCTTGCCCCAACATGTTTGTTATCCCATCCAAAGGTATTATCAAACTCTGCAGCTCCAAGGGTTTGCCCATTGACTTGAATGTAGTTAAGGTAAGTTGGGTTTCTGGTGGCTTTATGCAGCCAAGCAGCACCCCACAGGAGCTCATCCTGTTTTAGCATCACAGCAAAGGGGAGGATTTGGGTTTAATTAAGAAGCCTCCCATGAAAACATCAATTGATTTGAGGAATTCAAGAACATGAGATGAGGCTTACTTGATAACCAGAATAAGAGCAATAGAAGGGGCACACATTTCTCTTCAACACTTTACTGTAGGCTCCTCTGTACTTATCAGCAAATTGAAACACCTTTTACCCAGAAACAACATAAAATTTCAGAGTGGAGGGGAATTGCTAAAAAGAAAAGAGATGTTTGTTTATTTGCTTTGGTGTAGTGAGATTTTTACCCTGATGGCCCTCCTGACCAAGAGCTTGGAGTAAATGGGGTCACTTCTTCTGAAGACCAATGAAGCAGCTGCAAGAGCAGCAGCAGTTTCGGCAGCAACATCAGAACCAGGGGAGTCCTTGTCTACCTTGAAAACACTCCTTGGAGTGTCCATGTCCTCTGGCCTCTCCCAACAAGCATGGTCCTTGTTTGCATCCCCAACCTAAGAAAACCAATCAGAAAACCACCAACATTACTCCCCATGCCCTGTTTTTGCCCCCACTTAACCAACACAAGAAAAAAAAAAAAAAAAAAAAAACCATTTTTTGTAATGCAGAAAACAGAATGCAAAACCTGAACATAGATGGTGTCTGGATGTGCAGTAGCTTTGAGGAGATAATCAGTAGCCCAACGAATAGCTTCTTTGGCATTTGAAAGCTCTCCTTTCATCAACCCACCATACTCAATAACACTCCATGAAAGCATGGTGGTGGTGAAGGCCATGGGTAACCCAAACTTCACATTGTCGCCTGCATCGTAGTAACCACCAACCAAATCAACCTGCATTTGCATTTTCCATACTTAAATCAGCAAAACCCACTTCCCATTTCCCATAAAACGGAGGAAATCATGGTTTTTTCAACTTACACCTATGGCTGCACCATCTGAGAGACCAGAATCTTTCCTCCATGTGATCCTCTGGTTAGAAGGGAGCTTCCCGGACCTCTGCCCCTCAAAGAAAAGGACGGACTTGGTGAGTGCCTCTCTGTAGTTGTGCTTGGCAAAGCGAGGGTGGTGATGGTGGTGCAAT